CTTTATTCGCAAAATACGCAGTAATACGCGCTGGGCGCGATGTTGAACTACTTTTGTAAGTGAAATACGCGATGTTAAATCTTTTGAAGTTACTGCAAAATTAAGACAAAGATATTATTTATACTACAATAATTGTATAATAATGAAGATGCAAAAGACTCTCGTGCTAATAATTATATTTAGAGAGATATCCATATTTAACAAACGTTAATATTAAACTTGGAATTTTTTTTGAAACTACAGACATGCTCATAATTATTAGACTCGAACACATTTTTATATTAAAATTATTTTATAATTATGCTTCTTGCGGTTTTTTAATAATCGCATATAATTCAGTTTTATTTTTTTATAATTATTTTATCTGAAGATTATTTACGAATAACTTTTTTAATGATGGAAATCTATATTGCATCAATAAACATCGTTTGCTCATGTTTGTGTAATGTTTTCGCTGATTGATTTTATATTATTTTTGTACAATTTGAGTGATTGTGTACGCTATCAATAACTTGTTTTTTGTTATAATTGAATTACAATTTATTTTTGGCAACGCAGAATGTTTGTGAACAAATGTCAAAATTTTGAGATTATAAGGAAGAAAAGTAATTTCCTCATTAAATATTAAATATAATATAATTTAGCTATTCTGTATGTTATAAAATTAAGATTACTTCCTCAAATAAATTATTAAAATGATAAAATGTTATGTTTGAGTCTAATAATTTGAACGCATTTTTCTTTCGTATCTTCGTTTCGCGGTTTTTTGCGGATTAATTCTAAGCATCTTCTCTCGCAAAATCCTTGATTGCTAAAAACAGGCGTAGACGCTCTCGCGGATAAACGAGCGATCGTCTGCCAGTGCTCAACCGGCCGGAGGTAACGAATGCGACAAATTGGAATGGACCAACTTTTTCGATTAAAGTCTCCCTTGCTCGGCGCGGTTCAAGAGACCGCTTTCCCGGTCACGGCAAGATTCCACTTTCAGCGACACGCAACCGGTAATAAATAAGGGCGCTCTCCCTCTTAACGCTGAGGGTAGCGAAAAGGCGGCGAGGCAGTTGTCAAACGGTGGCTTTGTCTCTCTTGTGGGATTTCATGTTAATCATAGTAGAACGTGGAAGCAACATCGATTTGTGAAAGCGATACTTTATAGAAACCCCGCAATTTAATTAAATAAAATATGTGTGGCAGCGTAAATCAAATCCTTCTTAATTTGATCTATTTACAAAAATTTATCGAGATTTTATATATATTTGATTTTTTTCTCTCCTTTTCACCCTACTCTCTTTATTTGCTATTTTTTCTCCTTCGTTAACATTATTGTGAACAAATTCGTATAAAGTATAACGAACTCGTTAAGGCAGAATGCTACAGATAATACTGCGAGAAGGTCAAAGTTTAAATACAGTCCTTCGGTTGCGTAGCCAGCTGTTCGAACAAAACGCAAGGGAACAAGTTTTCGTTGTCAAATAATACTTTGAAAACTTGTATTACTCTCGTAGGAACACATGATACGTGCAGGACGATATTTGTATAAAAGTACACGATTTTTGTCCCGCACGTTTGAAGCATATAAAGTAGACTAAAAGGGATATGTTAAAAATGTCTGTCGTAAAATATTTATCGGACGAACGTTATAAAGCGATCTTTTATAGTAGAAAATCCACAATTTTATTAAATAAAACAGATGTGGCAGCATAAATCGAATCCTTTTTAATTTACTCTATTCAACAAAGTTTATATGCAAATGACTATGTAGAAAGTGATACATGTATATTTATGAGGGGCTACCCTCAGTGTAATTTAATGTTATTTAATTCAATAATTAATAAACTGTAAATTTATTTGCTTAAAATAAGATAATTTCTACAAATAAAAATTCTGATACTTAGATCTCGAATTTGGAGGAAGGGAGAGAATTAATCGTTCGCCTAAACACGATTGCCAAAAATCAGTAAGACTGTTAAACAACATTATTAAAAAAGTGACACTATTTTCACACTTTATATGTATCTAAATAAATTATATCATTGTATTATTATGACACACTATATATAATATTTATTTCTCTTTCATCTACTCCAGACGGTCGAAAGAAATAAAGGAAACGTTCAAAATAATTAAAGAAAAATGTAAAAACAAGTTTGTTCCGCGCCTAATATCTGCGTCTGGCTCTCATTAGCCTTTTTCAGAGCTGATTTTATAAAAATGTAATTATGTTATAAATTGCATATATTACAGTTCCGTCTTGCTCTCTCACTATATATGTGTATATATACATAAACGAAGGATATATATCTTCCCATCTCTTAATATTTGCCACTCTGCTACTACGCACCATCTGCAACCCCTGCTCGTCACGAAATGCTCACTCGAACGGTCTTGCTTTTTTTCCGCCAGTTTCTCACAAAAATAGGAACGTCAAGCGCGAGAGCAATTTTCCACAAGACGTCTTTGCAGCATAGCTTAGTTGCACGCGGAAACCGTTTTCTTCCTCGAGAGAGACCGGGTATATTTTTGCCTGCATTTAGCGCACTTAGACCAAGTCGCCGGTTGCATTCATCGCTCTTCTTTTCACCTCGAAATGCGATTTCGTGAAAGACAAGTCTCGTTACAGATATTTTCTGCATTCAATGGTTTATGCAAATCCGCGACGCGTATAACATCGTTTCCTGGCGTCGATGCGAAATAAATAGGGGATTCGTGTAAGAACGATGCTCCGTGAAATTTTATCGACGTAAAGTATGATCAGAGAATAGAAAATCATCCGGATAGTAGTACATTTTTGCACACGAATTATCTCAAATTTCGCGATCCATTTTCCGTTCCCGACAGTATTCCTTCCCTGCCCTTAGCAAAAAATCACGTACGTGCTTCAAGGAAATATGAGCTTTTATAAGCAATACATCATAGTAACATCATTACTCTACGTATTCCGAGAAAATGAATTCGCACAAACTGCAAAAAGAAACGACTCTGTTGGCCAATATAAAGTGTATTATCAAGATAGAGTTCGTGGACTTTGCGCAAATATTTATTCGACGAAGCTTATTATTCGGTCTACCGTTTGCACAGAGAACAAACTGTTCTCACGGAAGCTGTTAATTTTGGCTCGATTTGCAATTAACTTGCTTTTCCCTTGTGTAAGAAAACTCGCGTAAAAGCGCGCGAATGAAAGGGAAAGAGTATATGTGTTGGTGTGAAGATAAAGAAAAAGACAAACAGAGAGAAAGAGAGAAGAAAAACGATTCAGTTGGTGATGGAGCGTCGGCGATTAGTTAAGACAAAGAAGCGAGGCGTGGGGGCGAAGAAACCGGCGAAATGGAAGAGTTCTCGTTAGCCTTAGGAGATTTTCTCTCCCTTGGCGCGCTACAGCGATTTTACGTTGGCAGCTTCATTCGAAATGTTTTCCGCGAGAGTATCATCGTGGTCGACACATTTACAGTCTCATATTTATCAATCACATATTAAATTTCATAGCAGATTGTTTCTATAATTTAGTATCTAAAATAGAGGTCAGTGGTGACCTGATTGTGAGATAAAAATTTCACATGTACACGGAAAAAATTATTAAGTTGATTAAATATTAATTAAATATTATTAAATTTTAATTAAATATTATTTTGTTCATTGTACATATTAAAATATTTAAAAATTGAAGATTAAATCTAACAAAACGTATATTTGACTTAAATGTTAATATATGTTTAATTAACAAAATAATATTTCATTCAAAGGTTTAATCAAGTTGATAATTTTTTTCAGTGTGTAGTTTCTGATAATGTCATAGCGAATTCGGTCGGATGCACCAGTGCGCACTGAGCGCATATAAAAATGTATCACACACAAGTTTACAATGGCACAAGTACTTAAAATAAGAAAAATAATTAATAATAAGAGCTACTATCATTGTTGCTCAATATGAGTAATGATAATAATAGATCTTACTATTAATTATTTTCCTGTTTTAAATACTTGTGTCATTGTGAATTTGTGTGTGATAAATCTTTATATGCACTTAGTGTGCACTAGTGCATCCGACCGAATTTTTTATTAGAATCGTATAAAGTTCCGTAACGTAAAATAGTACACTAAAAAAATTGTATTCTCATTTTTCCCATTTATTTTTAGAATACCCTGAACGAAATGGGATTTATTTTTACATTAACAAAAAATATTTTACAAATGCAAAGAAGCTATAAAGAAAGCATTAGACACAGTATATATAGACCGAACTTGAAGCACAAAATCTAGATCCTGAATGATTAAATTGTTATACACTGAAAAAATATTTATGTAAAATTACATGATTGAGCTACGGTTTTTCCGGCCCAACATAATCATGCAATATTAATACTTATATGGAAGATTATAGATTATATGTAATTTCATATAAAATTTATTCCTAAATATTTCCAAGATTAAAAATATTTCACTGAACATGGATTTATACATAGGAAATGCTAGTAATGTATCAATGCTATAAAATAATGTTATAAATGAGAAATAGATAAATACTTATAAAATAAAATTCTATTATAATAAAGTAAAAATAGTAAATTTAAAATTACATATAATTTTTGCATAAAAATAATAATTTTACCTATATTTTACATGTATTTTTACATTAATATTTATTTTCACTTTAAAACAAATGGAAAAGAAATTTCAGTGATAAGCAAGTAACTTTGCCAGTTCTGAACTAGTAATTTCCATGTAAAAGTACATGGATTTTTTCAGTGTAAACACTTTTAAATCGTTTAAAATCTTCTCTTTCGACTCACTTATTAATACACTTTATTTAGTCTTCTAATAAACTAAAAATATTCAGTGACAAAATATATTCTTCATTTTAGAGGATATTTTACAAACGATTAGGAATATTATTTTATAGTGTATAATCTCTTATTTCGAGAATACAATTTTTTAATAATGTGTACATATACGTGAGAGATTTTCGGCGAACATTTTCGAATCGAGATTCATCTATATTGCAGCGTAAAAACGGATTTAATGGAGGAGGGGCCAATTCGACTCTCAGCATAGCTAAGGTCGGACCTACGGATAGCGGAAACTACACGTGCCAGCTGACCACCATGCCGGACCAACCCGCGACAGTTCACGTGCACGTTTTAAACGGTGAGGACATTTTATACATATTTCAATATTTTTCTCGACACTCTCTTATTGGATTGCTATCGAAATAAAATATCGTCCATTCAATAATTTACTTGCGTTAAACGAAGCAGAATTTAAAATTGCAGAATATAAAATTTAGAAAAAAAAAAGTTTGCTCTTAAAATACCCGGAAAAATGTTTTATATATAATTATATATAAATAATTGTATAATTATATATATAATCGTAAAATTATATATGAAATATGTGTCCATTTTTATACATAATTATATAAATTTATACATAAAATTATAAGGGTTCATATATAATAATGTCAAATTATATATGAAGAAATACTTATTTATTATATACATATAAATTTATATAATTATATATGAAAAGCACTTTTATCTAATTATGTATGGACATATTTCAAAAATAATTTTGCGATTATATGTATAATTTATATATTTCTATATAATTTTATATTGTTATATATAAAAAATTTTTTTCCCGAGTATCATCCGCTGACTCGTAGACAGCACTCGTAAAAATTTGTGTCGAATTATTCGATGACTAATATGCTGAGAGACAGACTCATAATCAAGAAAGATGTCGTGTCGCGAATCTCAAGTAACGAATTCATAGTATTCAGCACGACATTCGCGTTTGCCTCATTACGAATGAAATGTTCGTATGGAAACTTTTTCTCTCCATACAGCGTAGCTGTACACAGAGACTCGGCTATTTATTACTGAAGTACGTATACTCTTGTAGCATCTAATATTTATCTTCTACTTGCGCTTCGCGCCTAAAAGTCCTCCGGTATTTGACTCTTACGAGTATAAGTCCTGGATGTCGAAACTTGTTGCAAAGGATCTTCTTAAAACGCTTTCGCGCGCGAACTCTACGAAACTAAGTACGCAAGTCGAATTTTCCAACTACGCGAACAAACTTTGCAACGATAGCTTTGATGTCGCAATATACTTACATATTATCATTTTCAGGCTAATCTCTATATCGAACATCTCCCCCTCATTGCATTTCCCTCGAGCCGATAGAACATTTTCATTTCTTTTTTTATTAATAATAAATTTTTTTACTATCATTTTACTTGCTATTTTTAACTTTTTACAAAATTAAGATTGCCATGAAAAGATAAAGAGAATTATATATTCTTTAACTCTGGAATAAAATAAAGTTGAAGTTTTTTGCATTTTTCCAACAAAATAAAGATACGAAAATATATGTCACAGCCAGGAGACATCTCCATCTCGTGAAAATAACAGAGAAATTTTGCGTGACACGATCGTCCGATGATGGATCGTCTCACGACGAGACTCGCTTCTTCGCGTGATATGCGAAAATAATACGTTCATAAATTCAGCCGCCTCTTTCGCATCTGCGTCTTCACCTGGGAATATGCGCCGCGGAATTCGCGGTCCCGCAGGAACATACAAAGTGAGACTCGCGCAAACGTCATTTCGATTATCTTCCGCATAACTTAATACGGAGGCTCGGCACGTTCTCGCTAGGAATCGAATTATACAAGATGTTTCCCGATATTTGCATCATGTCGCTCAGGCTTTCATTATAGCTGATGTATGAGAGGAACGTATGCAAACTTGGTCCATTCGATAAGGAAACCTTCGCGAGACTAGCTGAATCGACTTTATGAGTTTTTCGAACGTGTCGTGATTTAAACTAAGAGATATGTATTCAGGGTGTTCAGCAGACTCAATGAAAAAAATTCCCTGACTTTATTAGATTTTCCAAGACCAGAAATTAATTTTTTCCCTGACTTTTTAGTATTATTTTTTTCCAAATATATAATTTGCATATATCTATATGATAAATCAATTAAATGTTTAATCATGAAATCCTTGAGATATTTTTGTCGACAATGAAAAGATTCAGAAGTTAAAAAACAAAAATTTAAATCAATTATACAATCTGCATTATGTACAATAATCGAAACAAACATGTCACTATAAACTACTTAAATAATTATCTTTTTATTTATAATATTATATGAATTTTTTTAGTTTTATCTCTATCAAACACATTGAAATAAAATAACATGACGATGAAAATATAAATTAACGAACACGCTGTAAATGAATCAATTTTTAACAACACAGAAAATTAGCGTGCTGGGAGTCAAGAAAAAGTTTATATTTATTTAATAAAAAATTTCAAATTATTGAAACAAATGTAGAATAATGTGAACAAATCCAGATAAATACTAAAATTTTCTGACTTTTCCCTGACAATGCCCGATTTTCCAAATTTCCCTGACCGCTAGACACCCTGGTATTTTGCATATATATATTTTAGTGCATCGTAAAAATTTGACGGGAGTCATTTATCAGTGCCAGTTCTCCGTTTTTAGAAAAACTTAAGAATATCTATCTGTTAGGGGAATTTTATAAGATTTTTTTCGCAGATAAGAGATATACTAGTGCGATCCTCTCATTTCAGCATATCACACGTTTTATATACTATACAGTATCCGAAGGTTATCTCCCGACACGTCGGAGAGATACGGCTCGCGAGTGAGTTCCTTGTGAGTGTATTTGACGTTGTTTCAGGAGAAAGTTTAGCCGAGCTACATCATAGCGGCGCACGAGGGGTCGCTAGCTCGTCGCTATTCTTCCTGGCCGTCGCTATTCTGCTCGCCCGATCGAGCCAGGTGCTTAGATGAAGGCTTGACGAGCTTCCAAGCTGGCGAGAAGCATCCCGTGACCCCGATGACAAAGGGAAAGAGAGAGAGACAGTGCTCCAGGGCACCGAAAGCGAACGACGCAAACTTTCGCGCGCGAACTTTTCTATCCTCGTGACAGGAGGATGATGGACATGAGAGGAAGGGCCAAAGAAAATGAGAGAGAGAGAGAGAGAGTGTGTGTATTACGTTTAACATATTCCGCATTGACATAAAAGATACGGAGACGGTTGGCTGCGTTGTCTCTCGGAACGTCTTATTCTAAACCTAACGTAGATCGCACGGCATTCGAGATATGTGTCTGTATTGCAAGAGAATGCTACCTTCGTCCAGCTTCCGGCGCGATTCTATTCGAATTAATTGCATGCTCGAGTTTTCAGCAAAGGATAAACGTCTCACGGTGAACGAACGGTTAGAATATCTTTTTAACCCTTCTATCAGTGCATAATTTTTCACCTTTTCATCAATGCGTGCATTAAAAAATTTATTAACTTGATTGAACCTTTCGATTAAATATTATTTTGTTAATTGAACATAGAAAAATATTTAAATTAAATATAACATATTAAATCTAAGAAAATATACATAATTTGACTTAAATACTAATATATGTTCAATTAACAAAATAGTAATTTAGTTGAAAGGTTTAGTCAAGTTAAAATTTGTTTTCAATGTGGGTACCCGGGGATCCCTGTTCATTGACAGAAGGGTTAACTGATGATTGATTTATGCAACTAATTAAAATTAATGATATTATATATGCTGCCACATTTTGAAAAGGACATTTACTTTGTATACTATTTATTATAAAAAAATATATGAGCATATAATGGATTTAGTTATAATGATACGCGTCATTCACGTCGTGAAGCACCCATCCTAATTTAGCAACAAAGGTTTGGCCCGATTTCCGCATCAATTTCATCAAGCTTAAACGTTCCAGTGATGTTGTAATGCAACTCCACGAGACGCCTGTGAACCAACTAGATTACCACAAGGATAACAAACAAGGTGCCGAGCAGATGTATCCTAATTAAGCAAATTATCAGGTCACCGTAAAACGGTGCTGCAACACAGGTTCGATCGTGCTGTTTAACGCACACATTAATCACACGATGTGTTAACACGTCTCGGCCAAGTTATTTCAACGCGATCGACTAGAAACCTAGTCCAACGAGCTATATACGGCAAAATCATAAATTTGCGCATCGAATAACCGATAACCGGTAAACAATAAAAGTCCACGACGTAAACTGCTAACCTGCTACAGCCATTGGAGTGGCCGCGTATCAACTACGGCCGTGATAATCGAGACAAATTGTTCGGTATATTCGAATTCGAAACCCCTTCCCCCATTTATCACTATTTTCGCGTGATTATATTTCAAAATTCTGTGCATTCGTCGAAGCATTTTTAACTGCGAAACGAGTTAGTGAGGATTTGCGCGTACAGTATTTTGCAAATTTTTCAATTAACAAGCTCCCATCATTTCACGTAACAATATTATTTTATTATTGATAATTTATTAGCAACGAAATTCTCATCGAGAGTCAATCGGGAGGCAATCGCGTAAGGGGATTTGTTGAATATAATATTTCGAGATTATTTCGATCAGAGCTCACAAATTAGCGGATAATTACAATAATGATATATCAAAAACGGATATACGAACAGATTATATCTTGTTATATTGTTATATGTAAATCAGATTAATGAATCATTTTAAATTTAAAAAAATGCCAAGGAAAATACTAGGATTAAAACAGTCACTGAATCGACTGTGACTTTATTGACATCTTAATATATTGTTTATGACAGAATATTAATATTGTATATTTATATAAGTTTTTATTCGCGACACAAGATACATTCAGATGTTGTCTTTTAAAAGCCCGTAACTTCTGTAAAAACAAATCATTTCGCAAAGCAAAAATTTGTGCCTCGTATTATATCACATCTTGCACAGCAAAATTTAAAACGTGCACGTTAAGACGTCATTTGAATGTATATTGTAGAGAGATGAAGGTACACTTGTCTTTCATGCAGCCAACCAAATCTCCAAGTCGTGCCGAGAGAAAAAGAGAGAAAAAGAGTATGTGTGTGGGTGTGTGTGTGTGTGAAAAAAAAAAATGATGCGCTATAATACATAAATTTAAACTGATTCTAACATTTTTTTCGTGACGAAAACAAAATCACGTAATATACAATATGCATTTTACAAAAATACTTGTCTTGTCTCTTTATATCACATTGATTTTAGAAATAATTTAAATGCTAAGAATCTGAACGGATATATATAACTTTTGTCAGGTAAGTACTCTTATACTTTATATAATTATATAATTTATTTGATTTTTATATAATTTATATATTTATAAAAGCTTGCTTTTCTCGTTTATCATGATATTGATTTTAGGAATAATCTGAACGATACATACATGATATATATGACTTTTGTTAGATAAGTATTCTTATATTTTATTTAATTTTTATTCTATTTTTTATCATTCCTATTTAATTATATAATTTATTTTACAGAACAAAATTATCATTTCGAGAGTAATTTGCATCATAATACTTTCTTAAATGAAACTATTGTCTGCAAATCCCAATTGGCGTATTGGCATAAATTGAAACTCAATGCCCGATGCAAATCAACTACGTTCTCTTTCAAACTTTTCTTTGGTTTTAATCGAATGCAATTTTGCCGCGTTTCTCGCGCGAGACAATTTCGAATCGGCAAAAACACCGAACACGATTTAACAATGGAATATATATTGCGCATTGAGCATTATTGATGAAAAATAAAAAAATAAAAAAAAGAGGTGCTGAATTTCGAGTGAATCGAAGTTCGGAGTGAATTAGAATTCCGCACGATCGACGGTGATCACATCGTCTCTTCCTCCGGTTAAGTTAGGTACAGCGCGTTTCTCGTTCAAACGAGGCATTTTTTCCCTGCTGGGAGCTCATTCGATTTTGTCAATCTTGCTACATGCCGTGAGACACGAACGAGAACGAGAGAGGTGCACGCGAGAAGGAGAAGCTCCTCGGGCGCACCCCGATGGATTGGATGTGGCACACCATCGATCTTCCTGCTTGGATCCCCAGGAACTCTATTTATCTGTCCCGCGAACGAGATTCTCCGATCCGGGATATCGTTCGTAACTTTTCGCGTTTTCCCTTTCGACGATTCGTGAATTTCCGCTGATAATCCTTCACAGATGCTGCTTTCACGAATCGTGCCAAATGGAAATTCCGCCGAAATGAATACGATAACATTCGTTTAATTTCCAATCAAATTATAGACCAACATTTGCGTGGAATTTGCTCGCGGCCTGATATTCAACAGTGTTTATGCGGAATCTCTCTCAGATTTTGAAATTTATTCTTCTGAATGCATAAATAATCAAGTGTACTTTATTTGGCAATGATTTTTTATATTTTTTTTTAATATTCTTAAATACTTATACTTTAAATAACTAATAACTAATGACAGTAATTAACTTTAGAGTACTTGCACTATTAAATAGAATGCCACACAATCTACTTTAAAAAACAAGTTAAAATAAAAAAACATGTTTTATATAATTATATTAGTTATTTAAATATATATATTAATCACTAAACTTCAACTTTAAGAAAATTATTGACACGTAAGAAAATAAATGAAAAAAATTGCAAATTTATGCACGTGGTTAATCAACGTCCGTATAACAAATTCAGAGTTAACATTATATTATAAATTTATTCAGAAAAAAATTAAGAAGTAAGAATCTTGAAAGACCTTTTAATACCAATTAAAAATTAACGCTACTGCTAGTTTATAATAGCAGTAACTTTTACGTTATATCTCTAATGCAATTAATATATAATAAAAATCTTACTCGCGGAAACGTATAATCTTTCTAGAGCAAGTATGCATAAAAAAAAATATATTTTTGCCTCGCTTATAAGTTCACGTTCAGAAGAACTCGTAGTTATATATAATTCTAATTCATTAATTTTTCCAGAGTTGAAAGTGCTTCCGCACGTGGGACGTTTGGCTTCAAGGCGAAAATGAAGGTAAGACACAGAGAAAAGAAAAAGATCGACTATACGATTATATCCGACGTTTTGAAACTTTTATCAAATAAGTCTCTTTTCACACCCCAAGGGTGAGATTTCGAAGCGCAGTATGGATAACGTTTGTAACTTTTCACATTCAGCCTTGAGAGAGAACGCGCTTCCAGATTTCCCATCTTCCAGCCCATGTGGCCGATCTAACACGCCCTGAGAGGAAAATATTCAATGCGCACCAGCGTCGCTACTCGCGTAACTTGATTCGCGTGCATTTTTCACACGTACGGCACGTGTCTAACGCACGCGTGCACTTGGGCAGGGAAGTTTGGAAGAATAAATCGCGCGGCGAAAGAATGTTGCAAGTCTCTCCTGAGAAGCAAGAAATCTTCTTATGCGTCCTGCCTTATGTTGTGTCTTTCACTTTTTTTTTAACTATTCCTATCGGACTAAAGCCCACTTTAGACAATCTATAATTCACGACAGAATTTGATTTATAAAGTTTATGCATCGTGCAATACAGAAAACACGTGACAGTCAAATTATAACTAGAATTATAACTAGAATGTTCTAATTCTATTTTTATAAATAGAAAAGATGTGTAAAATATGCGTATAATGTATAAATATTTGTGATTGGTGAATTGTAAATGACATAAACTACAACTTAACCTTTCGTATTTGATTAATAATTTAAAGCAGAAAAATAAGAAAAATATACGTGACAATGTCTTGGTCCCGGGAGAGCAAGTTACATGTTTATTAAGTGAATATAAGAAATATCCTTGCTTATATGTAGTAAAATCTATCAATTACAATTGAATATTTTATACATAATTTTAAATCAAATTATGGTTCGTGTAATACAAAAATTTTTTCTCACGAATAATTATATTCATAATTTAATACATAAAATTATAAATAGAATTCTATCGCAAATTATAGATCGTATAAAGTGGGCTTAAATCTGGAAAAAACAAGGGTGGTGAATTTAATAAGCCTATGGAGTCATACTATCGGGCGATTACATAATAATTTTTTCGACGCTTATTATACATTCCGCTTCAATGTATAATAGAACTATAGATAAATAGGCGTCTAATTAACTCCAAAATGGATCGCGTGTCGGTCTATTCTCCACGTTTCTTATCAAGTTCATGTTGCACGTTCGTGTCTAGAGCATCGGCAGGCAGTTGGATGATCTTATTTATGATTCTTCACGCGAACACGACAAAGGGATTAAAAATGGATTTTTAATTATCATCGGACACATAATATATATTTAAAAAATGTCAGAATAAAAACTTTTTTATTCCTAAAAGAGAGAAAGAGAGACTAAGAATCTCGATAAATTTGTTCTATATTATTAATATAAAATTTAAAATTATAAAAATATTCCTAAAATTTATAATATTTATGAAAAATATTATAAACTGTTTTTATTAATTTAATAACACTCGTGTGT